CCTTCTTTCTCTCTCTTTAGAGAACAAGCAAAGAAACAAACCAGAACCAACAAAAAGAAAGAAAGAAGGAGAGAAGGAGGGAAAGACAGGGCACAAGACACTCATACAGAACCCATAAAAACACTAAATTGGAAACCATAATGTTCAAGCAGAAATCAAGTAAGATTAAAAATGCCCAAACAAAGCCGTATGAGACAAAAGTCTACAAAAACAACATCGAGTTTATTTTGTGTTGGTCATCTGCTGCTGAGCATGAGGCCTGCCCTTAAGTGTGGTTTATATACCCAGTGAGACTCCGTTGAAGAAAACCCATTTTCCATTTGCAAACGGATGACAATTGGAGATAGCTTCTTGGTTAAGGATGGGAGCTCTTGTTTACTTCCCTGTCTCAGTGCTTGAACTCCATGGGCTTGAACCTGTGCAGGCACTGTGCATGCTGCCACAGTCTCTGAGATCATATGTGTGTCTGTCTGTTGTGTCTGCAAGACTCTGTTTTCTTGGAGTCATCCATCCCCTCTGGCTCTTGCAATCTTTCTGCCTCCTCTTCCTCATAACTCCCTGAGCCCTGAATGGAGGGCTTTGATGAGACACACCATTTGGGACTGAGTGTCCCAAAGTCTCTCAGTCTCTGCACATTTTCCAGTTGGGGGTCTCTTTGTTAGTTCCCATTTAGTGCAAGAGGAAGCTCCTCTGGTGATGTCTGAGTGAGACACTGATCTGAGTCAATTCTAATCCCGCTCATCCAGTGTTGGTGCTAACTTTATGAATGTTGTTGATCTTCAACGTCCTCCCTTTTACCTGTGCTTTCTTCTGTAAACCTTAAGCTTGTACTGAGACTTTTGATTATTAAAGGTAAAGATTTTGATCCACTTCACTTTACAGCTGTTGGTTCCAAATCGGTACAAGTCAGTCCAGCCCCAGTGTGTTAGGAAAAGAACCAAATAAGCCAAAAACTCCAGGCAGGTCCTATGGAAGCACAGGCATTTGAAGAGTTATGAAGTAAACACTTGTTTATCCCAGTTTCACATATTGCTATTATTTAAAAATGGTATGTATATCAGCCTTATAGTTCTGTTAGAAACAATTACAGAAAGTTCCAGGAGATGGAGAAGTGTTAAGGGATGGCATCTCGTGTGCTTCCTGCAGCTCCAGGGGGAGTAGCCTGACTTGTTCCTTTACCCACAGTGATGAGGTCATCAGGGGCAACTATTCCTGTACTGAAAACACTTGGCTGTCAGAGACTACATTAAGTTCTCTAGCTGTATGTAATAAATGGCTTAATATTCATGCAAGTTCATTCTCTATTACATCTAAAAATGCTAACAATGAAGTAACTTCTAACATTTAAAAGTGTAATATTTTTGGGGTCCAGCAGGTAGGGGTTGCTGCTGAGCCTGACAACCTAAGCTTGATTAACAGAACCCACGTAGTCACAGCAGACAACTAATTCTACAAGCTTTCTGCTGACTTCCACATGTGTGTCATGCACACACACAAACACACTCACATACACACACAAAATAAATTAATAAATGTAAAAAGATAACCTTTTAAATTAAATAAGGGCATAAATAAAAACAGCAACTAAAGTACGAATAAATGGATGTTTCTAGTATATAATACTAATTCTTAAAAATCTTATGTACATGTATGTGTCTGTTTGAGTATATGTCATATATGTAGGTGCCCACAGAAGCCTGAAAGAGTGTAAGACTCCCTGAATCTGGAGTCGTGAGCTGTGTGCTGTGGGGTCTGCAAAGCAAACTCAAGTCCTCTAAAAGAGCAGTTAGCACTCTTAACCACTGAGTCATCTTTCCAGCCCTAGTAATTAAAAAAAAAAAAAAACCAAAAACCTTCATGTAGCAGGTTTTTTTTTTTTTTGGACTGCCAGCCACCAAATCATGACACAGAGACTTATTATTAATTATGAATGCTCAGCCTTATCTTAGCCTTGTTTTTAACTAGCTTTTTTAAAAAAAACTTAAATCAACCCATTTCTATTAATCTCTGTACTGCCTGGAGGCTGGTTTACCTCATCAACATACTTTCCATCCTGTTTTTCTGCTTCCTCCCTGGCTGGCTGGCATCCTTTTTCTCTTTGCCTGGCAGCCCCGCCTATTCCTTCTCTGCCTAGCTATTGGCCATTCAGCTTTTTATTAGACCAATCAGGTGCCTTAGACAGGTATGGTAAAACAACAACACATCTTTACATAGTTAAACAAATGCAACACATCTTTACATAGTTAAACAAATATTCTATTCCACAACACCTTCATTTTTATTTTATGTATTTTCTTGCATGTATGTCTGTGTACTACATGCATGCTGTACTGTGGTGGCCAGAAGAGAGTGCTGGATCCCCTGGGACTGGAGTTACAGATGGTGTGAGCTGCCATGCTGCTGCTGGGAATCAAACCTGGGTCATTTTAACCGCTGAACTATCTTTTTAGCCCTAATAGTAGTAATTCTTTAAATTAAAAGTTATTTAAATTATCCTTAAAAAGATGATCAAATACCCTGTCATGCTTAGTTTTTTTAATCAGTGCTTGAAAATTTCGTTCAATGTGTTTTGATCATATTCACCCCTCCTTCAGCTCCTCCCAGATACACCAACCCTTCCTTCCATATCTACCCAAATTTATGTCAACTTTTTAAAAATATACATCCATGAAGTTCAATTTCTGCTGCTCATATATTCCTGATGTGTGGCCTTTAGCTGGAAAATGCTCAACTTACTAGGAGATATACTCTACAAGAAAACCAACTCTACCTCTCCTAGCAGCTATCAATTGCCAATAGCTTCTTGGCTAGGGATGGGACTTCCTGTTTACCTCCCCTCTGCATGTTGGGATTTGTCTGGCTAAGCTTGCACAGGTCTTGTCTATGTAGACTGTCGTGACTGCTGTGAGTTCAAACGTGCAGCTGCCCCTCTTATGTCCAGTAAAGGATAAAATGTGGGGGTTGGAGATTTAGCTCAGTGGTAGAGCACTTGCCTAGCAAGTGCAAGGCCCTGGGTTTGGTCCTCAGCTCTGAAAAAAAAAAAAAAAAAAAAGGATAAAATGTGTTGGAGTATAAAGAGAAATAATTTGTTTTACAAAAGATGTTTATGTTTTTGTTAATGGTTTATTTATTTATTTATGCTGGGGGTGGAACCCAGGGCCTCAGTCATGCTTAGCAAGTGCCCTGCACTAAACTCCATCTCCAGCCCTAATTGTATTTTTAAAGAGTTGTAGTTTACTTTTAGAAACCATATATGAGACTGGAAACACGTGAGTTGGTGAATTAGTATCATTTTCATGAGAGAAATGTTAGATCTGTTACATTCCAGTAGACACATATTAAGAAGATATAATTTAAGTCAAATGGACTTTTTTTTGTTGAACTTGAACTTTTTAGTTTTTTTTGATAATTTCATACATGAGACTGCATTTTTATCATTTCTACCCCCTTTCCCCATACATCTCCTACCACACACTTATACTTCCTCTCAAATTCATGACCTCTTCTTTAATTATTATTATTTCACACACACACACACACACACACACACACACACACACACACACACACCATATTGAATCTATCTAGTGTTGCTCTTCTGTATGTATACTTAAGGCTGAACACGATATTAGATAACCAATCAGGGAGCTTGTCCCTGGAGAAAACTGATTCTACCTCTCTCAGCAACCAGTGTTTGCCTGTAGCTCTTCATCTAGGGTGGGGTCTTATGAAATTTCCCTTATCCATTTTGGTATGTCAGCTTGAATCATTATTATGGAGGTCTTGTTTTGGCAAGACCTATATTGTTGAGGTTTTACAGGTACAGTTTGCCTAGAAGACACAATCTTGCAGTAGATGTGCTGGACTTCTGGCTCTTACAATCTTTCTGCCACCTCTTCTGTGATTTCCACCCCCTGATCTTCAGGTATAGGAGTTGCAATGTGGATATATCATTTGGGGCTGGGTTTCCCATGGTTGGTCAGTTATTCTCTACATTTAACCAATCATGATCTCTATAAAAATTTCCTTTGCCAAGTACAAGGACAAGTACTTAGAATACAGTTATAGATTGTATTGGTTTGGGAAAATGGTGGGGTCTAGGGTCTCTATAACCTCTCTAGCCAGTAGTAGTTGTTTAGGGTTACAGTACCTGCCATGAATTCCCTCCTATTGATCAGACCTTAAATCTAGTTAGACAGCTGTTGGCTACCCACAGGATAAAAGCACCGCTGTTGCACTATCAAGGATATCTTGTCGTGTTGGCCGTTATTGTGGTTCACAAGCTTTACAGCACTGTTGATTGCTTTCTCTTTTGGCCACTTGCATAGCACCTTCTGACATTGTGAGAGCTAGTCCTCAGGTACAAGGCTTCAAGGTCAGTTCTGGCTTGCTTCTTCTAAGGTCAATGTTTGAACTGTGTGGTGTGAGTTTCTCTTTGAGTCAGGGCCTTTTGTAGCATAAGCTAACCTCAAACTGACTATGTATCTGAGGCTGGCCTTGAACTCCTAAACTTCTTGCTTTACCTTTTTGTTTTGTTTTAGTTTGTTTTTTCAAGACAGGATTTCTCTGTGTAGCTTTGGAGCCTGTGCTGGAACTTGCTCTGTAGACCGGGCTGCCTTCGAACTCACAGAGATCCACCTGCCTCAGCCTCCTGAGTGCTGGGATTAAAGGTGTGAGCCACCACTGCCCGGCTTTGCCTTACCTTTTTAAGAGGCATGTGCCACCATACCCAGTGGTCAATAATTAACATAGAATATGAATATTATATTAATGAATTATATAAATAATGCTTGGAGTTCTTTTTTGTTTCTCTCAAGTGGATGCTGTGTGTGAGGAAATGGCGATCACCTACTCCATCTACTGACTTAAAATGCAGCTGTCTAGAGAGTCAAATATACTGTCATCCTTTTTATTTGCTGTACCTGTCAGTATGAAAAATGGCTTGCCCAAGAGTCAGTCACCCAAAGTCACTTACTCACTAATTTTTCTTGGACCCACAGAATTATCTCAAGCTGTGGTGGATGCAGGAGCAATTCCTCTTTTGGTTCTCTGTATCCAGGAGCCAGAAATTGCTTTGAAAAGGATTGCTGCCTCTGCCCTCAGTGATATTTCCAAGCATTCTCCAGAGTTAGCACAGACAGTGGTGGATGCTGGAGCTATTGCTCACTTAGCCCAGATGATCCTCAACCCTGATGCAAAATTGAAGGTAATAAAATTGGGTCAAGAGACAGACAAGCCAGTGCTTTCATAGTCTAAGAAAATGAAAATATGTACATATTGATGTTATATAGTTAAAAAGAATCAGTAAATATGATTGAAAACATACAAATACGTTATGTAGTTGGTCTTTTAATATATGAAAATAATACTATAAGGATTATACAGTAAAGATATGATTGGGAAAACTGTGTTTCATTTGTTCTGCTGCTTTGATTAAAAAACACCACAACCAAAGCAACATGGGGGAAGAAGGGTTTCTTTAGTCTACAGGTTAGAGTTCATCACTGAGGGAAGCCAGGGCAGGAGCTCATGGCTGGAAACTGGAGGCAGGAACTGGCCTGGAGACCACGGAGGAAAGCTGATATGCTTTCCTGCTTGCTCCTTTCTTACAGCCCAGATCTACCTGCCTGGGGATGGCATTGCCCACAGTGAGTTGAAGCCTCCTATGCCAATTAGCAACTAAGAAACTGCCTCACAGACATGTCCATAGGCCAATCCAATCTGTTCAGCTCTTCATTTAATGTTCCCTCTTCCAAGGTGACTGTAGGTTTGTGTCAAGTTGACAGCTGAAGCTAACAATGACATTCCATTCTTGTCAACTATGACATATAAGCACATCATGTTAAACCGTAACCTTTTCTTTCTTGTTTGTCCCCCAGATCTGACATTAATATAATATATTAATATATTATAAATACAGAACAACTTCTGAAGCCCCATAACCTTCAGAAACTCCAACACTTTATCTCTTTAAAAATCCAGAGTCTCCTAACTGTGGGCTCCTGTAAAAAATGTCACTTACTTTTCTTATTCCAAGATGGAAAAACCAGGGCACATCGGAGCAAAGCAAAACCAAACTCCAGCAGTATAGCTCAGTGCCTGATGTCTTTGATTGACTCCTGGTCTTCTGGTCTCCAAAGGTTCTTCTCCAGCTCTGCCGAACACAGCACATACAGCTTGTCTGGTAGGCACAGGCCAGCTTCACTCCACACCTGCCCTGTCCTTTGTAGCTCCAATATGCTGGAGTCTCTGCTGTGACTGAGGCTGTATCTTCACTGTGGCCTCTCCCGGCCTCTTCAGTAATTCTGACCCTGCCCCATGGTGCCCAGCCTCAGCTTTGCCCGATGACCCCTTCAGGCCTAAGGCTTCCACTGCAATGAAAGCTGCGCCTTCACCAATAGCTTCCTGGCCTCCCCTCAGGGAGGCTCCAACCCTGCCACACAATGCCTCACCTCAACTGCTCTCTGTAATTTCTTCATGCCTAGGAAGCACTGCATGGGAATATTATAAGTCTTTTAAAACTATATCTGAATTATAAGATGGACTATTGGATTCTGTATAATGTTTCTTTCTTTTTTTCCTCAACAGCGTCAAGTCCTTTCAGCTCTCAGTCAAATTGCAAAGCATTCTGTGGACTTGGCAGAGATGGTTGTCGAAGCAGAGATTTTCCCAGTTGTGCTCACCTGTCTGAAGGACAAAGATGAATATGTGAAGAAAAATGCTTGTACTTTAATTAGAGAGATTGCAAAACATACGCCCGAGGTAAAAACAAACCAACAGCGGAAAGTGAACTTCAGGTTGCAATTATACTTAGTTTTAGCGAGCACCAGTGTTCCTGGCCCCTGCCCACAAGTTGACTGCAGTCCCCTCTCTCGGGTGGTGACATTCAAAAGGCAGCTTGTGCATTGCTGAGTGTCCTGCAGACTGTGAATGCCCTCCAGTGGAGGACCACTGGATTGTATAACGTAGTTGGAGTTTAAAATCTAGCTTCTAATCACTTTTCCATTTCTAGGTGTAGGGACTGTGGACCTCTGCCATCCCTAGCATTTTATGTCAGCTAGGAGCAATGAAATGATATGGTACATTTCTAGGTTGGTTCAGACCACAAAGATCCCCTGGCCTGTATCAGTACTGTAGATTTACATGGGAAAAACAAACACAAAGAAAACCTGTGTTCATTCTGAAGTTTTACCTTTTCTGTGCAAGCGTTGCTTAACCACTTTTAATTTTATTACACGTAAATTTATTACACATTGTGCTTCACTGATCTTTATTTGCATGAGATTTTCCATAATTGAAGTACATTCAACTTACTAGTCATTGCCAGCAAAGGGGCAAGTGGGTTAGACCGTTCCAAGTGTCTGAGCTTTCAGTCATTAATATTAGCTGAGTAATTAGCTAGTTATGAACTAGCTCTAAGCTTAGTGTCTACGTGAAGGATTTTAACATCCACTATAATAGGGATAAAGCTTGTCCCATTGATGTGAAGAAAACTGAATCACAGAATAAGGTTCCTCTCGGTGAGTGTACCCGTTAACAGCAAGAGTGTTATACTTGTGTATCTCTTTAGAAAGTACAATAGTTTCTCTAAGTCATATTTCAATTTTATCAGTTTTATTTTAAGTCCTAAATAAAGTGTGGGCAACAAAGATCATCTTATGTTATCTGGGCTTTTCTTTTTTCCTCAGCTTTCTCAGCTGATTGTTAACGCAGGAGGTGTGGCTGCTGTGATCGACTGCATCGGGTCCTGCAAAGGGAACATACGGCTGCCTGGCATCATGATGCTGGGTTACGTGGCCGCTCACTCTGAGAACCTGGCCATGGCGGTGATCATCTCTAAGGTGTGTGCTCTTCACTGGTGGTGATGTAGTGGGCTGTTCTATGGTGGAACCATAAATGGATGTTCTCCATCAGAAGAGAAAATATAACTGAACAGAGCAAAACTCACCCATTTTCCCAGTTGTTTTACTGTTGAATTCAGTGCTTGTCTCCTAGAGTGAACCTTGAAGAAAGGTTGAGGTAATAGAAAATGTTTTCTTACTCAGTGTCTGGGATCAATAATTATTACCACCTTTGAGTATTACAGTTATGTGAAAATTATCTGTTAAGTGTGTATATATATGTACATATACATATATATGGATATTAATTTGCCTATTTACAAACACGCAAAGCACACTGTGGTAAAAACATCATAGCTGGATTGTGGTACATGCCTTTAATCCTAGCACTTGGATCTCATGAGTTCCAAGTCAGTTGGGTCTTCATAGTGAGACCCTGTCTTAACAAACCAAACAGAACAAAACCATCATAAACGATTTGACCATTAATCATTTTCTCTGTTCTCAGTGGTCTCTGCATCCCTCCCTTCCCATCGCTTGACTGTGGAGAACACAGCCCTCTCAGGACAGGTTTCCTTCCTCAGGTACAGGTTGCCAGTGCACACAGCACACAGCAGTGTTCTGCTCTTGTTTCTTTGCTCTGAGGGATTTTTTTATTTTTATTTTTTGACTTACATCAATCTAAGACTTTGTATAAACTCACAATGTAGTGCAGCCTGGGGCCATAGTAGATGCTCATAAATGTGTTGGTGCAGAAATATCGATCTCCTGAGGAATGCTTCAGAGGCTGTGTAGTCACAGTGTGTGGTGCGCCTCTGAGGTGTCTGGTCTCTGCAGCACACAGGACTTGCTGCTGTGTGTTAAACAGGAACGTGAGTGCTTTACCATTCCACTAACCAGAATATGAGCCGCCTCTGCCGTTCCATCCTGCTCTTCTGTTGCTGTTCTTATGTTATCACAGGTGCTGGCAGTGACTAGCGGTGTAGATGTAACCAATCGTATTATTAAAATAAGAAACA